CAAGATGGAGATTATCTAATTATCGAGGGCAGATCAGACCCTCAGTTGCCTGTTCAGGGAGGTACAGCGAGGGATTTAAAAAAACACAAATTTGTGAGTGTAGGGAGACTGAGAAGTCAATACTTCAGATTGGGCAAAAAACAGAAGATCTCTGAGGTTTGACCCACTTTTATTAGCCAGCAAGAAGTGCAGGGGGAGGGGGCGTGACTTGTAGTAGGAACTGCAGTAAGAATGGAGGTAGTAGCAGGAGGAACAAATTTAATATCACAAAAGAAACAAGTTAAGATCCCTTCCCCTGTCTGGGTACTTGCTTTCTTGGTGCAGTTCTCAGCAGATGTTATCTTACCTCAGCAGAGCTGGGGTTCTGGAATTGCGTCCTACCCAGCCAGGAAGCCTGGAGCCTTCTGAAAAAATTTCCCTATTCTTGAAGTGAGTCACTGTCTGCTTTGTGGCTGTGAGACCTGTACTTCGGCCCCCACCAATCTATACATCTGGTCTACCACATCTAATATCACATAACCCTTTTAAAATCACTGTTTTCTCTGACTGGTCTCAGAAGAGGAAATCGGAGACATTAGAAGTATGAAAGAGGCTCTCCAGTCCTGAAATGGAAGGTGGGAGGGCACAGGACCAGGACCTTGCAGTGTTCTCTAGTTGCTGAAAGTGGTCCCCAGCCATGAGGAGGGCAATGGGTCTCAATCCATGACTACAAGGGACTGAACTCTTTGAACTAATAAATGACTGTTATCTTAAGGTACTAAGTGTGTGGTAATTTATTCTGCAGCTATAGAATATCAATACTGGTGTTTTGTACCTGGTAGATTGGATTAGTCACACCTTCTTTCAATTTTAAAAATTAAGATAAGGGCTGGGGATTTAGCTCAGTGGTTCTGAAGCCTGCCTCAGAAGCACTAGGTCCCAAGTTTGATCCCAGGTACCAAAAAAAAAAAATTAAGATAAAATTAAAGTTTACTGAAAAGCATACCAATTTTTTTTGTTGTTGTTCCAGGATAGAACTCAGGACCTTGAGCTTGCAAGGCAGGCATGGCACCCAGCCCTAGCATACCGATCTTAAGTGGACACTTTGAGTCCTTTCTCTTTCTCTTTCTCTTTCTCTTGTACTGTGGATTGAATCCAGCACCTCACACCTGCTAGCAAGTACTCTACCACTGAGCCATAATCTCAGCTCTTACAATTTGATTATTGGTAAATGTGTACATCCATGTAATCACCACATGAATTATGCTGTAGAATGTTTCCATGGCCCCAAATTCCTTTGAGCACCTATAGAGTCAACCCCCATCCCCACCCTGGGGGGAATTCTTAGAACAACTAATTAGAATTGCTTATTCTTGGTCTTCATTTAAATGATAACATATGGTACATACTCCCTTGTGTCTGGCTTGCTTTGCGCATGTTTTTTTTAAGTTCATCTTTTTTTTTTTTTTTTTGTTACCCGGGATTGAACTCTGATCTTGTGCTTGCAAGGCAGGCAGCAGAACCACTGAGCTAAATCCCAAGCCCCTTAAGTTCATCCTTTTGGGGGAGGGGGGACTGGGTCGTGCTATGTTGCCTAGGATGGCCTTAAACTCCTGCGCACAGCAAGATTCATCCGTTTTGTTTAACGAGTTGAGCTTTTTAATTGCAGGTTCGTTTTGTAACCTGTGCATACACCACAACTTGTTTATCTGTTCATTCTGTTGACGGACATTTGGATTATTTCTACTTTTTGGTTTGAATAATGCTGCTATAAACATTCATATATGACTCTTCATGTAGATACATGTTTTAATTTCTCTTGGGTAAGTATCTAGCAGTGGGATTGCTAGGTTACAGAAGTGTATCTTTAACTTTATAGGAAAATTGTCAAATTTTAGTGAGGTTTTACATTTATTAAAGGTAGGAAAAGAAGTACACTCTGCAGGCTGAGAGCAGCCCCCAGGGCCTATCAAACTGTTTTATAGAGTGGCTGTCCCATTTTACAGTTCCATTAGCAATATATGAGAATACTAATTATTCCCCATCTCACAGTACTTGCTACTGTCAGTCTTTTAAAGTTTAGCCATTTGTCAACAATTTCTTGAGTACTTACTTCTCCGTGACTTGCAGAATAGATTATTTATCTCATGCCCCTTACATCACATTGAATGTTCTTCCAACTGCATTTCTTCTTTTCAACACTACCTATGCTTCAGGTCACAGTTTCCCAAGTATTTCCCAACCGCTGGCTCCCAAGAAGAAAAGCAGAAATGGAAGGGGTGTGGCAGAGAAGAGCTGTTGACCTCAGGGCAGCCAGGAAGCAGAGAGGGAAAGAAAGAGCCAGAAAGGAAGGGGTCAAGACAACACATAATCTTCAAAGCCATGCTCCTAATGACCTGCTTTATCCAATTATATGTCCCCCCATACACCCATTCAACTACTGAACTTATTTACACATTAGCCATTTATACATTAATACTTATTAATGCATAATTAATACTTATTAATGTATATACACATTTATACATTAATATTTATATGTTCATTGAAGTTAGAGCCTTCATGACCCAATCACTTTTCCAAAAGTCCCACCCATGAGCCTTTTGGGGACATTTTAGATCAGTGATGGTGAACCTCTCAGAGAGGAGTGCCCAAACTGCAACCCCAAACCCACTTATTTATCGCAAAGTGCCAACACTGCAATTAAACCTGAATGCTGAGGTTTTAGTTAGAGAGTGGTAGTGAAGGAAGTAGGAAAGAAGAGGAAAGAAAAAATTTGAACTTAGAAACCCCAGTCGATTCCTTTTTAGGAGAGTGAACTAGTTTTTAGGAAGGTAATGAGGCAGCAGTATGCAAGGAAGATTTCTGTAGAAACGCTGGAGAAAGAAGCCAAGTGTTTCGCACAGTTGTTGAAGGCCTGGTGTAGTTAGGTTTGTGGGAGTGGAGAGAACAGCGTAACTGAGCGATGTTAGAATCAGCATGGTTTGACGATAGACTGTATTGAATCTGGGAACAACAGAGCAGGGGCTGGGAAACTTTGGGGCAGTCACTCAGAGAAGAGTGACTGAGGGAGAGAGCTGGTTTAAATACGGAGTAGTTCAGACTATATTTGGATGTGGGACCAAGGGTTCTGGGAAGTAATAGGAGTTAAAAATGCAGATGAAGGAGCCAACTGCAGAGGTCTTTGAAGCTGAGGAGAGGGTAGGGTGGAAGGAGACTGGGAGGGTCTGGGGTCTAGCTCTGGTGTAAGGGAGGAATACTGAGCATGTAGGGAGAACGCCCCAGAAAGAATTTACCTGAGGACTTAGATGATGGAAAAGCATGAAAATACCTCTGAATTTGGTCAAGAGAAGGAGACCTATTTTTTGCTGCTTTCAGTGGAGAAATAGGGGATGAGGAAGGAAGAGACAGAACATACATTTCAGTTGCTTGCAAGAGAAGAAAATGAGGTAATAGGTTAATAATTAGTGGAATTAATAAATGAAACTTATCCAGGTTAATTAAGAGGGCAGAAAAAACTGGTAACAAGGAAGATGTGGAAGGTGCTAGAGATTCTATGACAATCTGTGGAGATGCTTGTGAGGGGGAGCTGTGTCGCTTCCGCTGCTTCACTAGAATCACCTATGAGGGAAGTGTTTTTGTCCCTAATGAAGAGGCAAGGAAGTCTTTTACTTTTTTTTTAGTTTTTTCAGTACTGGGGATCAAACTCAGGACCTTGTGCTTGCAAGGCAGACATGGCGCCACTGAGCTAAAGCCCTGGCCCAGGAAGTCTTTTACATTTGAAATCACCTTCTCTCCCACAGGAAGATAAGCAGTATCTTCCAGTAGGCTGGAGCTCCAGCCTATTGCTCCCAGATGTGCGAATGAATTTAGCTAATGCTCTGATCTCTAGATCAACACCTGTAGATTTCAAAACAGGCTTACTTTGACTCCCCATTGAGCAATTCTTATTCTTTTACCTGTAAAGAAGACACTGTCTAAAGCAGTAATAACGTGAATCAGCAAATTGATGTCTGAGACACAATTTTTATTATAAATATAGAAGAAATTTTACAAATAATCAGAAGTGGCTTTAGCCAGGAAAAATTAAATAACTCAGCATAGCATGGATGAGGGAAAGTACATACAGTCTGTGTCAGGGCTGGAGATCCCTGGAAGAGGTACCTGAGTAGGAGAACTCCCAACGAATTCTCTTAGAGGAGCCCTGTTAGGCATACCATGTGATCAATCAGTGAATATCAAATAAAATCTTTCTCTTTACACCCCCAAAGACATTTAAGCTGTGTAGCAGAAGGCTGCATGAGAAGTACCTTTGCCTTTCCTTCTCTAGTCCTTTTTATTCTAAGTCACATTGGGACTCATAGACCCCATGGGAGGAAAGGTAAGTTTCAGAAGCTGACCCAGAAACCTGGGGTGGGGTAAACCTCATATCCTCACCCCCTTTTGCTGCCCTCATTCCCAAGGGTCACTGGCACCAGAGCAGCTTCCAAGGTTGTAAACAGAGACAACAGCAGGAGCCTATTGTTCCCTTTAGGGCGCTCCCACTTTGCAAGGATCAAGCACACCCTCACAGAGGCCAGGGTTTCCTGAGACACTGGGGCAGACAGGTAAAAAATGCACAGGCATGGGGCCGGGGATTTAGCTCAGTGGTTCTGCCGCCTGCCTCACAAGCGCAAGGTCCTGAGTTCGACTCCCGGTACCAAACAAAAAAAACAAAAAACAAGAAAATGCAGAGGCATGCTGGGGATTTAGCTCAGTGTTGCCATTGCCTGCCTGGCAAGCCCAAGGTCCCAAGTTCGATCCCTGGTACCAAAAAAAAAAAAAAAAAAAATGCACAGGCAGGGCTGGGATGCAGCACAGTGGTGCTGCACCTGCCTCCCGAGTGCAAAGTCCTGAATTCCATCCCTGGTACTGGAAAAAAAAAATGCACAGGTGGAAACATGGAACGAAAGGCAGCTGGTGACTGGTCTGACATGGCTAGAAACAGCCTGGCAGTTTCTTGCATGAATGAGGAAAGACTCTTCTTTTATTATTATTATTATTTTTTTTTTTTGTACCGGGGATCGATTCTTATTTTTTTAATTTGAAGCCTTTGACAAAAAAGCCTTGAGAGGCTCCTGGCCAAGGGGGCCTGAGCGATTTGGGCAGCTTCCTATACCAAAGCAGTCAGGCCAACTTACACAGCTAAGTAAAAATAACTCTTTTCACAGAAGTGAGCAGTTACAAAAATTAAAATGGCGGAATGGCTCAGAAAAGGGAAAAAACCATGTGCCTCCAGTTGTGCATTCTTTAACAATAATTTTTTTTTTTTTTTTGTACCGGGGATCAAACTCGGGTCTTTACATTTGCGCAGCAGGCGGCAAAATCACTGAGCTAAATCCCCAGCCCACTTCAACAATAATTTTAAATAACTGATGAAGAATAACTCTGTTCTTTTCCCAACTTCCCAGCAGATTGCATCTATTCAAAGTTGAGTTCTGTCATGAAACTAGTCTTTTTTTCCAGGCACTTCCTTGAATAAAGCCTACACAGGCATTAAAAGTGTATGTGTACTTTTGCATTTTCCATTGGGAATCGCCTGTGGACCTTGGCAAATCATTTCCCTAGTTGTTTCTGGTGGAGTCTCTGGAGACGGGCTTGCCAGAGGGCTTAGGTGGCACTCCAGCTAAGCAGCAAGATGTTTAGACCCTGATCCAACAGTAGACAAAAGTACACAATTTCCCAGTGCACTATTGGTTACATATTTGATTTTCCTGGGTATGGTGGGTTTCACATCAGGATTTGGAGACAAAGTAAAAGCCATTATTGATTTTACTTTCTCTCTTTTCTTTCTCTCTCTCTTTTATTTTCCTGGCACATACACTTAAGTGGAAAAGGAAATAACCCTCAAGATTATGGCAAATTTGAGTTACACTCTGATAGGATAGCACTGGGATGGGAAGAAATGAGTATGCTCTGAATAAATAACTTTAAAACAAATCTAGGCTGGGAAAAAGGGAGGGGCAGGGAGGTTCTGGCAACTCTCTCCCAAAACTGGCTTTGCCAACTTTCAGACAAGGAAGGTTGAGTTTCCTACAGACTCCCAGATGTACCTTTTCATTTATTGACATTGGACGGAGGCACTGCAGCCTCAAGGTGCTGTATTAGGGAGGACAGAGTGTGGAGGGACTTTTTTCCTTTTCTTCTGAGTGTAAAGAAATCCCCCAGGAAGCCAGTGAGAGATGTGGAGTACATCAGCAGTGCTGTGGCAGGACAGGTCGCATTACTTCTTTTTCACTTCTGAATAAACTGTTTCTGTGATTGTAGAGGATGGGGAGTCTGAAGTTGATTGCTTTGTTTGCAGGACATTGAAGTTCAGGGAAGAATATGCAATTTCATCCACCTGTGAAGTACAAGCATCCATCAATTAAATTACTGTCACATGCCAGCACTTCACCTTGGCTGGTATGATTCAACACCACTGTGCTGTTACCTCTTTGAAACATTTAGCTTTGGAAAGGGCTTATTCTCTGGTTGCTAACATGTTGATGAACGATCCTTATAAGAGATAGATTATGGTGATGGTATGATACAATGGAATATAATAATACAGCAATGAGAATGAACCAGTCACAAACATATACAACATGGGTGAATCTCACAAAACAATGTTGAATCAAAGAAGACAGGTGCATATAAGGATGTGCTGTCAGGATAGTGACTATGACTTGTAAGGAAGTGACTGGAAAGGTTTTTTTGCAGGGGATAGACATATAGTGTCTTGACTAAGGTGCTGTTTTCATGGGTGTGTTCAGCTTGTGAAAGTTCACACACTATAAAAGTATACTTATGATGTAGCCAATTTTTAGTATATGTGCATGCTCTATTGAAAGGTTAAGATGAAAAAAAATTCTATAAAATAAAGGAACCAGAACCCCAGATCTATTAGAGGGGAAATTATCCTTTGACAGTAGGACCAGGGTCATATTGAAGGTAGATAAAGGAGGAGGATGCAGTGACTTCCTTGTTTTGGGTATTGTACTGGGTGCTTTACATTTTAACTCATGTGATCACCTGCACTTCCTTTTGAACCAAACTGAGGATTAAAGAGCTTATGTTATGTGTTAAGGGTCATAGAGCTACTAGTAGTCACAGGTTGGATTTACACAGAGGTTGCAGATAATTCCAAAGTACACATTCTTGCTATGAGGTAGACTCATGGAAGTGATTAACCAATACTTTTTTGTTGCTGCATTGAAGAACTTAGGCCCAAACTTGATCTCACTTTTGTGTCTTCAAGAACAATCCATTCTTGGGGCCAGGGATTTAGCTCAGTGGTTCCACCGCCTGCCTTGCAAGTGCAAGGACCCAAGTTCGATCCCCAGTATCCCCTCCCCGCCAAAAAAAGGAACAAAAGAACAATCCATTCTCTCCAGGAACATTTTCATGGGAAAATGAGCCCATAAAACTGGTTGTGCTTACCTTGTTAGGAGAGTTATCAGAGGGGCCCGGACCTGGGGAAGCAAAAGAAGAGTTACCACTCCAAGGAAATGCAAAGCTGACTTAAGGCCTGATGATTTAGCTGAAGGAGGTAGCAGGGGGTGGTTGCTGGGAGTCTGGGAGAGCAAGCCCATGATCGCTTAAGGAATTTGCTTCCCCCAGAGTCCGTGGTCCAGACCCAGTGCACTAGAACCAGAGGATGGGTGGGGGTAGAGCCACGAGAGGCCTCAATCCACCTCTGAAGATTTCCACCAGTTCACAAGGCCTTGGTCTTTTTTGTCCCGCCCAGATGTGTTTCTTAGCAACATGCTCCAATGGCAAGGAGGGGCAATGAGGGCCCATAGCACCCAGCGCACCCATGAGGCAAGGAAAGTCTCACCGAGGGAGAATGCCCACATCCGTAATAGAGGCAGGAGGGGAAGGAGTAAGGATGAAGAAATGACTCCTGGCGCCTGCCTAGCTTAGGTGGAGTGAGCCTCTTTCCAGGCTGTGTCTCAGGGGACTCTTGTGGTTAGGAAGGATTTGAGGATCTGTGTTGACTTAGGGCTGGGAAGTGGATCCCCCCGTAAAAATTCAGGGGGGAGGGAGTAGTTGGAGAATCTAGGGTTCTCTGTCGGAGTAGGGCACATGGTGGGACATATCCGTTCTGACTGGACGAGTGGCTTTACTTACTGTGGTTGGAGACTGAGGGTTTGTGCTCTGAGAGATCGTGCTGGTCGCTTGCCCTAAATAAATATCAGACACTGTGACTGCTATTCCCAAGCACAGGACCTTTGATCCCTGAGTTAGGAAGGACACTGTCAGCAGATAATTCCTTGGCATTCCTGGATGTCCATTCATTTTATGGTTGGCATTGTCTTTTTTCTTAGGCCCTCATTCTTCAAGCTGTCATAATACTGTTACTGTTTACTCCTTTCCTGTTCGGTAGATGTCCACGTTAACATCTCTTTTTTCCCTGGTGCTGGGATCCAACCCAGGGCAAACACTCCACTGCTAAGCTACAGCCCCAGCTGTCTAGATTTAGTCTTTATTGACTCTTCTGTGCCTACTTTACCTTAGTGCCTCTCCTATTTTGTTTTCCATAAGTAGACTTTGTTTTTTTCCCCCTTATTTTATTTATTGTCCAAGGGGGCTTTGGTTGTTTCTGCTTTCTCTTACATTACTTCCTGTCTTCTCCCTCCCTCCTCCTGCCACTGTGGCCAACAGAGCAGATGACTTACTTTCCTCTGCTTCTCCTTTCATTTCCTCATTGGACCTCATTTTCCTTCTTGTACCTTGACTTCCTGACTGGGGGGATAGAGGAACATAACTGGATCTGTTCCCTTAAGCTTTACAGGGAGGGGAATAACCACGCCCAAGAGACAGTGGGATACAGGGAGCATGAAGACAGGAGCATGAAGACCCATTGGAATTAGTGCTGAGAAGCAGGAGTTTAGGAAAGGAAAGAGGATATCCAGCCCAGACACACAGCTATAAAGGTCCTCTCCCTCTCCCAAGCATGGCAGATAGCCTTGGAGGAAATGACAGAAGTGGAAAGGCCATCATACCTGCCCATCTTCCTGAAAAACAGGAAATACGCCAGGGCACCTATCAGAGCCACCCCGGCCACAACTGCAACCATAATGCCAGCAATGGTCCCACCTGGGAGGCCAGGACTGGGTGCATCTGGCATGGAAAGGAAAGAGAAAAAGAAATGAAGGTGAAACTTTTACAGTGGGGTGCCTTGAGACACAATTTTTATTTGTCTATTTATTTATTTATTTTGGTACTGGGGAACTGAACTCCGGCCCTTGTGCTTGGGCAGCAGGCGGCGAAACTACTGAGCTAAATCCCTGGCCCCCGAGACACAATACTTTTTTTTTTCTTTTCTAATTTTTTTTGGTACCAGGGATCAAACTCAGGTCCTTCCACTTGAGAGGCAGGCGGCGACACCACTGAGCTAAATCCCTGGTCCCCAAGACACAATTCTTAACATGAAGTAATCTCTCTTCATTCCTTCAACAAATATATTTTCCATGGAAAGGTTGCTGTGAGGTGGTTGGCAGGTCTTGTAATTTTTCCCCACTCACTGCTGATCTATCTTCCTTCAATTCCATCCTGGCCTTTCTGCAGTCTGAAGGCTTGGGAAATGTGAGAAAGGCTGATTGTTATTTTTGTACATTGCAACTTCCTATTTTTGTTGTTGCATCTTTTCTCACAGGATCCCAGTTGTGGTGGCCATGACCTCTGGAAGGCTGAGGCAGGAGGATAACAAATTCAAGTCTAGCCTGGACGACTTAGCAACTCAGTAATACTTTATGTCAAAAAAACTCCAACAACAACAAAAATGCTGGAGATCTAGCTTAGTCTAGAGGTGGTTCAATCCTCAGTACTACAACTAGTCAGTTTCACCAATAAGAAGAAAGATTTGTACCCAACAAAACAACAAAACATTGCTGAAAGAAATTATTAAAAAAGACACAAATGGAAAGTTATTCTATTTTTTTTGTTTGAGATAGGGTCCTCCTATATATATAGTTCAGGTTGTCCTTCTCCTGCCTCAGCCTCGGAAGTGGTGGGATTACAGGTGTGTGCCACCATACCTGGCCCATGTTTATGTATTGGAAGACCTAATGTTGTTGAGATGACAGTACTACCCAGAATGATCTATACGTTCAACGCAAGTCCTATCAAAACCCCAGTGACATTTTTTAACTGGTTGTGATGGTGCATCCCTATAAACCAGCGCTGTGGGAGGCTGAGGCAGGATGATCACAGGTTCAAGCCCAGCTCAGGCAACTTAGCAATTTAGTGAGACCCTGACCAAAGAAAGGGGGTGGTGGTGATGGCTGGAGATGTAGCTCAGTGTGGAGGCCCTGGTTTCAACTCCCAGTAATAAAACCAACAAGATCCAGGACACTTTTTGCAGAAATAGAAAAATCCACCCTAAAATTCATATATAATCTCAAGAGACCCCAAATACTCAAAACAACTTTGAAAATGAAGAATAAAATTGGATGATTCACTTCCTGATTTCAAAATTTAGTATAAAGCTACAGTAATCAAAACAGTGTGCTACTGGCATAAAAAAGGTATATAATCAATAAAACAGAATAAAAAGCTCATACATGAATGCTCACATATATGGCCAAATGATTTTTAAATATTTAAAAAATTTCATTGCCATATGATAAGAACATATATGCATGGGGTACAAAGTGGCATTTTAATATATGTATTTAATATGTGACAATCAGATCAGGGCAAACGGTGAATGGCATATCCATCACCTCAGACATTCTTTGTGTTGGGAACATTCAAAATTGTCTTTGCTATCAATTTTGAAATACAGAATCAAGCACAGTCAAACATAGTTATCCTGCTGTGCTATAGAATATTAGAAGTTATTCTTTCTATCCAGTTGCACTGCTGTGGCCAGATGATTTTTGATGAGGGTGCTAATACTGTTCAATGAAGAAAAGTCTTTTCGGGCTGGGGATTTAGCTCAGTGGTTCCGCCGCCTGCCTCACAAGTGCAAGGTCCTGAGTTCGATCCCCAGTACCAAAAAAAAAAAAGAAAAGAAAAGATAGTCTTTTCAACAAAGGTGTTGAGAAAACTGGATATCCATGCAAAAGAAAGAAGCTGAACCTTTACCTAACATTACATACAAAAATTAATTCCAAATGGATCAAATAACTCAATGTAACAGCTAAACCTATGAAATTCTTAGAAGGAAACATAGGGGAAACCTTCACGATGTTGGATTTGGCAGTGCTTTCTTGCCTTTGATACCAAAACCATACGCAACAACACTAAGCAAAAATAGATAAGTTGGACCTCATGAAAATTAAAAGCTTCTGTGCATTAGAAGACATTATCAACCTGTTTTCCAGAAATTCCTCTTCTAGATATATGTATAAAGGATTTGAAATAATTTTTTGGAGAGATAACCAAACTCTTACGTTAAATGAAGGATTATTCATAATGGCCAAGATACGGAAACTAAGTGTCCATCAATGGGTGAATGGATGAAGAAAACGTGGTATATGTAAACAGTGGAATGCTGTTCACCCTTAAAAAAGGATATTCTGTGATTCTGCCAGCATGGATAAACCTGAAGACTATTACGTTAAGTGAAATAAGGAAGGCACAGGAAGAGAAATACTGCATGATCTCACCCACTTGTGGAATCTAAAAAAATTGAACTCATAGAAATAAAGAGCAGAATGAGGGTTGCTAGAGACTGGGCAGTAGGGGAAGAAGGGAATGGGAAGTTGGTCAAAGGGTTCAAAGTTTCAGATGGACAAGAGGAATATGTTTTGAGATCTATTGCACAGCAGGATGACTACAGTCAATGACAATGTATATTTCAAAGCACTAAGACAGCATATTTCAAATATCTTACCATAGAAATGATAGGTAAGAGAGATGATGGATAAATTAACTATCTTGATTCAATAATTTTACATCATATACAAATATCAAAAATCACATTGTAAACAACATCACATAAATGTACAGTTACGTCAGTTAAAAAATTAATAATAATAATGGACATTATCAAGAAAGTAAAATTGCCACTTTCAGAATGGGAGAAAATATTTGCAAGCAATGTATCTGACAAGGCATTAATGTCCAGAACATATGAAAACTACTACAGTTGAGCTTGGTAGCACATGCCTACAATCCTAGCACTTGGGAGGCTGAGGCAGAGGATCACTGTGAGTTCAAGGCCATCCTGGACTATGTAGTGAGACCCTGTCTCCAAAAACAAAATAACAAAACAAAACTACTACAATTCAACAACAACAAAGCACCCCAAACAATCCAATTAAAAAATAAGCAAAGGACTTGAATAGCCATTTCTCCAAAGAAGACATAAAAATGGCCAGTAAGCATATGAAAAGATGTGCAACAGCACTAGTCATTAGGGAAATGCAAATCAAAGTCCCTTCATACCCATTAGGATAGCTATCATAAAAAAAACAAGTCTTTTTGAGGATGTAGAGAAATCGGAACTTGTGTGCATGGTTAAGTGGGAATGTAAAATGGGGCAGCCACTGTGAAATACAGCATAGTGGTTCCTCAAAAAACTAAACAAAGGGGCTGGGGATTTAGCTCAGTGGTTTTGCCACCTGCTGCGCAAGCGCAAGGACCCGAGTTCGATTCCCAGTACCCAAAAAAAAAAAAATTGAGCCAGGGATTTAGCTCAGTGGTTTCGCAGCCTGCTGCTCAAGCGCAAGGACCCGAGTTCAATCCCTGGTACCAAAAAAAAAAAAAAAAAAACTAAACAAAGAATTTATTTGGTAATTCTGCAGCTGAGTATATACCCAAAAGAACTGAAATCAAGAATTTTAATAGATATTTGCATATTTACTTCTTAGCAGCATTATAAATAATAGATCAAACATGGAAACAACCCAAAAGTCTACTGATGGGTGAATAAGCAAAATGAGGTATACCCATAAAGTGGTATATCCATACAATACAATAAAATTGTCTTGAAAAAATAAAAGTAAAGGAACAAAATTCTGGTATATACTACAAAATGGATGAACCTTGAAGACATTATGCTAAGTGAATTAAACCAGATACAAAAGAACAAATATTGTATAATTCCCCTGATGTGAAAAGTTTAGAAGACAAATACATGCAGACGGAAAGAATGGTGGCTACCGGGGAGTTATTATTTAATGGGTATAAAGTTTTAGTGCAGTAAGATGAAAAAGTTCTGGAAATGGATAGTGGTGATATTACATAGCAATGTGAATATACTTAGTGTCACTGCACTGTGGACTTCAAAATGGGCTAAAATAATAAATCTTATGTATATTTTACAACACAGCAAAGAAACAACAGAAAAATAGACAAAAAAGAATCTTATCCAAGGTGATACAGTAAATGCCAGATTCAGGACAAGAAACAGTACCGTTGGCTTTCTGCCATCCATGGATTTAACCAACTAAAGTTTGAAAACTATTTAGAAAAAAATGGGTCCACATGGAAAATGTACAGACATTTGCCTTATCATTATTCCTTAAATAATACAGTACAAGAATTCTTTTTTTTTATGGTACCAGGAATTGAACTCAGGACCTTGCACTTGCCAGGCAGGCATGCCACCACTGAGCTAAATCCCCAGCCCAATAATTATTTATATTGTATTTTCAAAGTAATTTAGAGATAATTTAAAGTATATGGGAGAGCTGAACATGGTTGCTCAGGTCTTTAGGCCCAGCACTCTGGGAGGCTGAGGGAGGAGAATCACAAGTTTGAGCTCAGCATTGGCAACTTTGTAACCTAATGAGACTTTGTCTCAAAATTTTAAAAATAAGTAAATAAAAAAGGGGTAGGAATGTAGCTCAGTAAGAAGGCCCTTTGCAGTTGTATGTGAATGCTACACCATTTTATATAAGGCATTAGCGTGTCCACAGATACCAGTTATCTCCCTGTGGATACCGAGGGCTGACTGTATATTTGATTCAGACCCTAACCTCTTAATACTTTGCAAGTCTGTTTACTGATTGGTATCTCCATGGACATAGTCCCTGTGACTTTTATCCATCTTGCATACTATTGGTAGAGAAATCCTCCCCAGTGGATGGAGGAGAGGAGGAGAAGTCACTCACATTCCACCTTCAGCTTGATAGTGGCGCTTCTTCCGGAACTGACCGGGTTGGAGACCTCGCACTGATACTCCCCGGCATCCTCCCTCCAGACGGGGGCTATGGTGAGGGCACTGCTGTTCTGGGACAGCGTCATCCTCTCTGTGAGCCGCAGAGACTGGTCATTGTGGATCCACCGGATGGAGACTCCAGTGTCATTTGAGAGGCAGGTCAGGACCACAGAGTCCCCTTCTGCGACTGTGGTGTTGGTGGCTTGGATGGAGGGTGGTGACAGTGGCTCTGTGGACAGAGGAGGGAACCGACTGAGAGTGGGCCTGGGCCCTGGCTGTGCTCTTCCCCCAGATATTCAGCCAGCTCTCTGGGCCACAGTGAGCTCTGTAAGGTGGCTTGGAGCACAGCCCTGCCCCTCAATAGAGGCTGCACGTCTTGGTTCAGGCGACAGTAAGGAAAGGCCTGTATCTCCCTCTGAACTCAGTTCACACAGGGAGGCCCTTAATGTTCCCTGGACCTCTCTGAAGGATCCACATTGGGAACCTGTTCTCAGCCCATGTGTCATAAGGTCGAATATTTTTCCCATTGACATTTTTTTTAATTTGAAAAAGTAAAAGTGAAGAGTGAGGTTGAAACTGACTCTGCAGAGTGAGCTTGGCCCAAGTGAAAGAGGAAAAAGAACATGTTGGTTTGAAAAGGACTTTTATTTCCTGGCCTGTGGATTAAATAACGCAGTGAAAGAAATCAGCAGAGATAAATGGTCAGTGTTAACAAAAAGCTGACATAATTCTCTCTACCAATCTACACCTTTGGCCCTGCCCTTCCCTCCATGCAGGGACTCCACAGGGAAGCTCCCTGTGTCTCCAAGTGTGTGACCCTTACTGGTCTCCATGGCGCATCACCTGTGGTTGTATCCTCAGCCTCATATAGCTGGGACTTCAGTCAGGACACAACTCCAAGATGCACTTTTTCCATTTCCACGCACCTGATGCCAGGGAGGCTCTGATGGCCTTTGGGGGTATGATTTAACAGATTCAAGACAGGCCTTCCAGATGCCTTTTCCACCCGTCCTATCCCACCCCAGATAGGGCAGGAGCAGAGCCAGTCTCTGGGTGAAATGGAGCAGAACTGAAGTGGAGCTCTGAGCTGCTTGTGCCCTGTCCAAGAGGGACTTCCCCCTCTCATTTTGGGAAAAAGAGAGCAAAAGTATTTCAAATCCCTGTGGGTTCCTTGTAGCTCATGGAGGAGGTAAAAGAAAACAGAGATGACAGAAGGGAGGAGTTAGTGACAGAAAGAAGCCACTTGACCTCAAAAACCCTTCCTCCCCTCACTTTGAATCTCCTCGCACTCCATGGGGCTTTCTGGGGCAGTGAGACCCACCTCTCCACATTCCAGGCTGAACTCCAGCTCTGCCATGAGCAATCAGGAAAGCAGGGGAGGACTCTCAGGGATGGGGCAGAATGCTCAGGGGAGGATGGAGACTTGCTTGTGTCTGTAGACTCAGGCTGGGAACTTACTTCTTTCCTACTATTTCCAGACAATCAAAAGGCTATCCCAGAGCTTGGTGCTGATGCTCCAGCGCCCACTTACCAATGACTGTAATATTCTTGGTTGTGGTCCTATTGAGGCCAGTGGCGGGGTTATAGACGCTGCAGGTATAAGATCCGCTGTCATTTACAGCAATGCTGGGGAGAAAGAGCTCCTGCGTGGATTGCAGGTAATTCTCATTGAAAAACCAAAAATACTGTGCAGGAGGGTTAGAGGCTGCATGGCAGGAGAGGCTGAGGTTTGTCCCTGGAAGGAAATATGAGCCTGAGGCCAATATGACAGGGGCATCCGGGCCATCTGGAGGAAACAGAATAAAGCCACATGTGACATCATCAGAGGAAAGGGGAAGGTCCTGGCTTGTAGAAGGCGGAGTATCTCACTGAACCATGTTACAGCCTTGTTTTTTAAAAAGTCCCAACCAGGTTAGAGGGTGTAGCTCAGTTGTAGAGCACCTGCCTAGCATGCACAAGGCCCTGGGTTCCACCCCCAGTACTACATACTCAGAAAACACTCCCAGTCAGATCTCTCTGTGTGCAGTGAGCCTGAATCATCCCTGTTTTTCTTTTTTTTGGAACCGGGAATCAAACTGAGGACTTTGCGCTTGCCAGGCAGGTGCTGTGCCACTGAGCTCCATCCCCGGCCCCATCCCCCTGTTTTTCCGATCACAGGTGGTTAACTGAATCTCTTCAGGTGGGAGAAGCCTCCTCCCTCCCCCCATTCTTGGCTGAAGGTCAGGCCAGCCTGGACGGCAGGGGCAGGATGGTATGGCAGCCCGGGTGTCCAAGACAGAAGGTCTGTTTTCCGAACTTGAGAGAGGGACTGAGTGGCCCGGCCTCTGCCTCTGGCCCTGTTTATTGGGTGTGATCTGGGACCATGGGAGAATAGAAATTACTCACAGGAAATATTCAGGGTGACTGGGTCACTTCGGATGCCACTCACTAGATTCCGGGTTTCACATTCATAGGGTCCTGTGCCATTCCTTGTGACACTGAATAAAGTGAGAATCCTGCCGTCATCGGACAGGTTCAGCCTATTACCATTTTGAAGGCTCTGACCGTTCATCCACCACAGGTAGGTTGTGTTCTGAGTCTCAGGTTCGCATGTTAATACTACAGAGTCCTTTCCTTCCACAGGGTCGGAGTTGTTGCTTGTGATGGAGGGTTTGGGTAACACCGCTGTGCAGAAAACAGAGAGAAGATTGCCCTGTGTGGCGCCTCTGATCTAGGCAAAGACATTTTCCACCAGAGTTGGCCTCTCTCACCTCTCAGCCAACCTGGGTCCTTAAAGAATCAGGCAGGAGAGCATCTCCCAGGCAGCTGCATGAGGACTGAGTGCTCAGAGGACATGAGGCCACCTGCGATTTGTCTGGGAAAAACACAGGCTTTTTTATGTGTGAGCTAAGCTACGGTATTTGGTCATGTATAGACCCGTAGCGCCTCTCCTGGCCCTCACTGGCCAGCCACCTGGTTTGCCTTGGGCCATGCGGGTGCTGAGTCCCTCTGGCTGCAGGGGCCTCCCCTGCTCAGCCTAGCAAGTTTCCTCTGAGGCTTTGTTCTGCAAGGCTGTCCTAGAGATGGACCATGATGGGACCCGCCCCCCATTGTCCTGAACCTAGAGAAGATGCCACAGCCTGGCCTGAGGGTGGTTGAGTGTGCAGAAATCACACCCAAGGGGACCAGGGCCAAGTCTGACCTTCAGCTCAGTGGTCAGTCTGAGGCCATAATGTGGGGTGACTCTGCTCAGGTGTTTGATGATGACTTACATGAGCATGAGTCTAAGGAATGATCTAGGAAAGTGTGAGGGAGACAGACAGACTCTAGAGCTGAGGCACTTTCTTGTCCTTGGTCTTTAATGTCCCTCTTCTCACTGCAGGGGGAAGATGAGGACCATGTGGATCTTTTGAGAATCTGACCTTCACGGGCCATTTGTCAGGTTTAGGATAGCAATTTGAGATGTTGAATTTCTTCTCTGTGGGAAATTGTCATGAATACCCAGGATCTAAATCCAATTCCTGACAGGGATATTTCTCTAGAGAGAACCATAAGGTCTCAGCTCAAACTCTGAAGACTTTCAGGGTCACATTTGAATCAGAGATAGGTCCTGAAGTCAGTTTGAAATCAGCTACTCCCTGAGCAGGAGACCTGTGAGCCCAGATGGGAGGTCAGAACTTGGCAGAGGGAAAGTCTGCGGTAAAAGGAGGGATGATACCAAATTCCAAGACATGCATCATATTAGTAAATTTAGAAGTCTGTGTTCCCAGTGGCTGCTGAAAATGAGGCAAAGTGAGGAGGAGCCCAACTAGGCATGTAAAATTCTTCCTGTCTTTTCTTTTGACCCCGGAATCACAAGCAGGGTTTTATTAAATTCTTCCAGATCAGACAGAGTCTAACTGAAATGCCAATGGCTGATGCATCTCACATGTCAGAGGACCCACCTTGTGATGATGGTGTCATCATGAGGACCCAAGGGTGAGCAGTGAGCCCCTCAGACGGTGCTTGTCAGGCCAGCTTCCTCTCGGGGAAGGTGTGGGGAACCTTTGAAGGACTGTGAGCCCCACGTAGGGAGCAGGATGGAGTCAGGGGTCCAATGGGTGGAACAAGCCAGGGCCTTTGGGCCTTGCAGGTCTGTCCTTCTGCTTCTGGTGCCCTGGCCAAGTCACTGTAGATAGAGATGCTGGGCCCTATGCTGTGGCGTACTCTACCCATTGGCAGTATGAAAGAACACAGCCCCGGACCAGGACACAATGGAGGCTCATTCACAGTGGGGGACACTGGCTCATGATAGAGCCTTAAAGGGTCGGCAGCTGTGACTGATTTCTGTGGCCTTTACTGTTGTCCAGGAGGCTGGGTCTGGCCCCAGTGTTAGTGAAAGGAAGCAGGACCATACGTCATCAGTCTGGAAAGAAAGGAAGCCTTGAGCCGTGCAGGGCAGGGCTATTCTGCCCAAAATGACCAGGAGGAAGATGAGAGGCAGGAAAGGAGCAGAGAGGGACAGCAATGCCCCAGCAGGGAGCAGTGGGGTTTCAGTGACTTCAAGACACCAGAGACCAAGTGCCCCAAGGAGGCCTCAGAAACAAACCAGAACACTCCTGAAATCCCTTCCCATAGCCCAGCAGTCCCAGGGTCATCATGTGAGGGCCCTCCTGAGGGAAAGAACTAGGGTCTCGGCCTCTAAGTAGGACAGGGAGCTACTGTGGCTAGAACCTTCCAGGATGCTGCATGCACGTCCCAGTCTCTGGAGGGGTTCTAGGTCATCCAGTCACTCATTCACTCATTCATTTATTCATTCACTACTTATGCTTCCCCTCATTCATCACAAAACTATCAAATTGGCTGTAATTTGGTGTGCTGGTTTCAGGGTGTAGCAGGGAGTGAGAGCGCAAAGCCATCTCTTTTATACTCCCGAGAGGGATCCTCAACACCTCAGGAAACATAGGACTTCAAGTCTAGCGAGGGAGGCTGTGGATCAGCTGCATGAGAAAGGAGGCCTGAACATTCTGCAGATGTAGGTGATTTAATTTTAGAGTAAAAATTGGTTAAATCTACATTTGATCTCCATGCTCCAAGCAGACTCTCTCTGAGCTAGTGAGGCTGAAGATTAAAAAACATGAATCAGGTGGCCGGGGATTTAGCTCAGTGGCGTCGTGCCTGCCTTGCGAATGCAAGGTCCTGAGTTCGATCCCCGGTACCAAAAACAAACAAACAAAACAAGAAGAACAAAAAAAAACCATGACTCAATAACTGGCCCCTGGTTCACAGACGTCTAAAAAATCTTCCAGGGTGGGGCTGGGGATTAGGCTCAGGGGTGCTGGCCCCTGCCTCACAAGTGCAAGGTCCTGAGTTCGATCCCCGGTACCAAAAAAAAAAATCTTCCTGGGTGGAGGGGACTGGGCTGTGTTATACACACATAGGTCATGCCTCTGAGCTGCTACCCAGGGTCTGTGAGATCCTGATCCAGCAATGGTATTTCTTCGGGCCTTCATCTCCCTGTTATAGGACACATGGGAATCGGTATCTGGTTTGCCATGCTGGTAATTTAACCTGAATTACCTGACATTGGCATCGAGTAGCCTCCTAAGTAAACAGCATCTATTATTTGCCTCCAAGACAGAATGACCTTGGCCAGTTGCTGGGGGCCCGGGAACACCCAGGAGTATCACTCTGCTCGGTTCTGCCCCTTGGCACACTGGCCTTCCTGTGGGGTCCCATAGTCAGTCAAGTTGGCTAATGGCCGGAGGCAGCTGTCCATCCATCTGTGCTCTCTATGCTAAGTCTCAGGAGTAGGAACTGCCCAGTGCCCTGACCCAGATGTGGCTCTTGGGGTCGTGCACTGGCTGGTGAGCAGCGCCAGGGACTATGAGAGGCACACAGCCAATCACTCATTGCTCCCCTTCATCCCTAAACAGTGGTCAGTTCTAAGGCCAGGAACAAGGCCCCCAGGATCACTTGGAGTCAGGAGCTTGGACCAAGGCTGGGGCTTCCTGGGGCCGAGCTTCTGTGTGGGGATCCCAAGGCTCCCTCAGCTCAGGCCCTGACCAAGGGCCTCAGGGTCGCTCTCAGGGCCATGTAACTAGGAGGGGCTTGGGGCCTGGATGGAGATGACACCCTGGGTAGAGTCACTCTTTCCAACTATCCTTCCCTCTGCCGGGCGGGTTCAGGTAGAGGGCCCCAATCTATTGAAGTTGATCTCCACTGTCTATGTCCTGCGCTGCACGCTCAAAGCCCAGCAGGGGGACATAATGTGCCAGGCTGGGGCACAGTCCAGGCCTGACAGTTTTGTGTATGAAGTGGAATTAACCCCGTCCAGCACCCAGAGGTCATTGAGAGTAACTTACGGTACACACGCAACTGTACAGATGCTAATTCACTCAGAAAATTTCTCTTTACAACTTGTAAGGTGTAGAATCCTGTGTCCCCTTGGGTTATGTTCTGGAACAGCAGGGATCCATTGAGGTATATTGTCTCTCGATGGCTGTATGCAGGGCCCTCTAAGGTTGTGTTTTCATCTGTCATATATGTTGCAATCCGATTATCCTCAACAGTCCCTTCCCCTTTGAACCACAGATAGGCTCTACTATCCGCTGGCACATTGTGGACAAGTAGAAGAACATCTTCCCCCTCAGCAGCATTGAAGGGCACTGATTCAGTAGTCAGTTGGGCAGTGGTGGGTGGGTTCCAGAAGGTTAAAAGTGAAGCTGGAAGAGAGAGAAATTCATCAGTACGGGATGGAAGATGGGGCCCTGAGTCCTGGGAAGATGTTGTCTTCGCTTACTGTTACTGCTGCGTGCGTGTGTGTGTCTCTTCCTAGGTGAGGTCAGCAGCAGACTTAATTCCTTCAGCGCCCCTGCACTTGTCCCCTCCTCTGTTAGGAACACTGCTCGGGGGTGTCTTCGTGGCTCCCTGCTGGCTGCCCTCAGGTCCTGCTCACATCAGGGCAGCCTGGGGAGGTGCCTTCCCTGGCCACCTCACACAGCCAGCCTGGTCTTCACTGTCTCACCTTTTCCTGCTTTCTGCCCTCTGTGGCTCTTGCCAGCACCTGACTTCCCCTTCTAGAGGTCCTCGCTGATCTGCTTTCCTGCCACTGGGACGGAGGTCCGGGAGCACAGGGACCTGCCTGCTCTGTGTTAGAGCCCAGTGTCTGGCACAGGCTGGGACACCTGTGGATGAAGGAGAGGCTCCCAGGGCCCTGCCTGTGCAGGGCTTTATCTGCCAGTTTCTGGTGGTGATGGGTAAGCACAGTGCTTACTACCCTAGTTGTGTTTTCTTCGGAGAGTCACCCTGACATTGTTAACAACAGCTTTCAATATCTAGTGGCCTGCGGGGAGTGGTGGTGCACCTCTGTAATCCCAGCACTTGGGAGCTGAGGCAGGAGGATTGCCACAAATTTGAGGCCACCTTGGGCTACATAGTGAGTTCAAGGCCAGCCTGAACCACACAGGGAGACCCTGTCCCTCTCAAAACTCATACAGTGGCCAGTGATGATTAATTTATAACTGAGAAAAATAGAGTGTTTCTTCCTCCTTTATCAGTTCCCATTCACTGAGAGTTTCCAGTCACTCAGCCTTCTGTTCCTCTGTTGTGTCCTCTCCCCTCATGCTCCAAACAGAAATCTCTGTCCACTCACAGAGTCTTGTCCTGCTCAGGGCACCCAGTCACTCTCTAAGTGTTCATCCTCCCTTATAGCCTCCCAGCCACTGACCCCGCTCACCTGTGAGCAGGAGCCCCTGCCAGGAAACAAATCCTCTGTGGGAAGTGGCTGAGCCAGGCTCCATGGTCTCTGCAGCCTGCCGTGTCCTCGCTCTGTGGAGAAGACCTTCAGCTTCCCAAGCAGGGCTGCTCAGGCAGTCTGCTCTGCTGTCCTGTCTCCCTCTGAGCTCAGCCCTCCCAGTGCAGGAGCCGCCCCAGGGTCATGTGACCTGGGGGCGGAGTCTCTGGCTGGGGAGCCTCCCTGTCTCCCACCCTCTCAGTCCTGCCTTCTGGGTTTCTTGCCTTCTCTGTATTACTTGTCGCCACCGAAGACCACACTTGGAGGACAAGGCTTTCGGGGACTCTGTCACCTAAGGGAAGGACTGGCTCACCCCCTCACCAGCCTCTGCACTGTCCTGGCCTTGGGCTGTCCACACCACAGGGAGGACCTGGGGTTCCCAAATCCGGGGCACCTTTCCCTTTGTGACACAGAAACCCAGGGAGGCACTCAGTCTTCCCCGTGTGTTTGTGCGCTCTGGGAATGTAGAATCGACTCCCAGGAGGAAGGTGACAGAGATGGCTCTAGGGGACAGACAGGGCCTCAGCTGAGTGTGACTGCTGAGGGGGCCTGGCCCTGGATCTGTGGTGTCCCCAGCCTGGTCTCTGATGAGATGTCTCAGAAGGAGTTGAGGCCAGGGTGGGCGGGGTTATGACCTGCAGGTCCTGGGGAGGAGGAAGTGTGCTGGTGGGAGATTAAGTGGCTTCGGGCAACATTGTCCTGGGGGGCAGTTCTCAGGGACAGCCCCCCAACTTGTCTTTGCTACGCTGGGACCCGTAACCCCCCTGAGTGTATTGCTTGGCCTCTGTCCCCTGCCAGCTGGCTCTCCTGTGCTCATCCCTTTCCTTACCCCATGGTTGATGCCAGGAAAGAGGGGGCTCAGCAGGCTCCTCAGAGTTCCAGTAGGAGTGGGTGGGACAAAGCAGTCAGGTGGGAGGGACCCAGAAGGGTCTGTGGGGGCAAGGGATGGAAATCTGGCTGCCTCTGCTCCCAAGCCTAAGCTCAGTTCGTGTTTTAGGAACTCTGAGTGTTGGCTGTGTATCCTGATGTCGCCCCCTGGAGGTCAGGAGGGGACTTGTGGCCAGGGTCAGGGGGTGCAGCAGGGATGTGGACCAGGCTCCAAATAGTGTGAACTGCCCCTCATTAGTTATTAAAATAATTTCTTCCCCTAATAAGGTATTTGACACACTTGTCAGAGATCAGATGAGCAATATTGTCTGGACTTATTCTACATGCTCAATTCCAGCGCTTTGATCCATATGTGATCTATTTGTGCAGGTTGCTTGTCCTTTAGATCACTGTTATATTATAGTTATAGTAAGTGTTCAAATAGGGAAAGGTTAATATCTAATTTTGTTTATCCATATAAGATTCATAACCTATCCTGAGTCACATTTTGTTCAAAGCTATAGATAGATGGATCCATTTATAAAATAGTGAGGCCACGCTTTGCTGCCTGGTCTGGAACATCTGGTTTGAAGTGATGACCCCCTCCCCATCAGGCTGCAGAGTAGCTGTATCTACCGCCCAGGGCACCAGGCCTGTCTCTGATGGTTCAATTTTTATTTTTTAAGTGATCTCAGGGCTGGGTTGGTTGGGCCTCACTAACCACACTGTAACTGTATGCAACTGTACTTTATCAGCAGAGGTGTGAATGCCAGCCGTGCTAGGCAAGCACCTAGTGCTGACCTGCATCCTCAGCCCCTGCAATTGTTCTTTCTTAGGGGTGGTCCCTTCACTGCCATCTATAATCTGGAGCATGCATTTGCTGGGATGTTGTGCTAAAATATGAGTTGCCTCCCATGAAAGAATCGAGACTCTTCAAGAATTTACACATGGGTCAAGGGGCAATGAGTTTCCTGCTGATGGGCAAGTGATGCTTTGGGCCACAATCTCACTGGTGAGGTTGTTGGTGTCCTACCCTTTTGTTCTTCCTTGCAGCTGTATCTCTGTTGGCCTCAGTCTATGTTTATTTTCTCATTTATTGTCTGGGGTCAGGGAGCATGGCACACCTGTGAGCTGGAGCTAGAGAAGGTGGCCTGGCAGGTGTGTACCCACGAGGGTGGCAGCAGCAGGACTTAGCAGGGTGACACAGCTAGGACTGAGAGGGGCCCGGACAGCCTGACTTCACAGTCTGTGGGTGGCAGGAGGGCATCCCCAGGGGCTGGCTGATGGCCACATAGGTGTCTTCTCAGTGGACCAGGGAGAGCTGGAGGCCCTGGGTATTTCACGTGCAGGAGAAGATGTGGCCCTGGGTTGTACTGTCCCCGAAGCAGGTCCTGGGAGATAAGGATGCTGCCTGTTAGGCCTGGAGTCAGTCTCATCGACTCAGATACTCTTGCTGCAGGATGGAGCATTCTGCACAGAGGCCTGGACTGGGCACAAGGGAGAAACTGCTGCTTCTTATCACGGATTCGTCTCCAGTGTTGAGTGACAAGCCAGACTCATAACTGACAGTTGACAAGCCATTGTCACGGATACTAAAGATGTCAATCTCTGCCCCTCTTAGCCTTGATTTTTCTGCCAAGAGGGGCAGGATTTCATCTGTTGAGTTGTTACTGGAGGAGATTAGTGGGGATCAGTGCATCTGAGCCAGGGTGGGTTTTTCCCTCTAGCGAGCATCTGAGAATGTCTGGAGATACTTTTTTTTTTTTGTACCGGGGATCGAACTTGGGTCCTTCCGCTTGCGAGCCAGGTGGCAGAAACACTGAGCTAAATCCCTGGCCTGGAGATACTTTTGATTGTCACCCCTGAGGGAAGGGGGTGCTCCTGGCACGTACTGGGCCCAACCCCCAGATGTTGCTAAACACCCCACAAGGCACAGATAAGCCCACGAGGATGACCAGTCCCAAAAGTTGGTGGAAAAATAACCCTGCTCTGCACCCCTCTCCACCCTACTCTGGAGCCTCCCCTCACCCTGCTCCTTCAGATCTCTCCCATCACCAACGCACTCCAGCCCCCTCCTCCTGCATCTGCTCTGGCATCCTCTGAACCTGCCCTTTGTGCTAGGTCAGCTTCACCTACTGTCCACCAGAGGGCGCACATGCCCTTCCCTGAGCTCCTGCCACTCTGGCCATTCTGGAGACCAAGGCAGCTGCCCAGCCCCAGTCCTCAGGCTTCAGGGTGAAGCCTCCGGGTCAGGCACCAGGGACTCAGGGAAGAACCTCACGGAGGAGGTGGTGGCATGGACCGTTGATGAATGACCAATGCCAAGTGCACATCACTGTGGAAGGAAGATTCTTGGCACAGTGGCTGGACACACAGGGCCCAGAAGTCCCCGCGTGACCACTAGGGAGAATGGCTGTGAGCCGGTGTCCCTAAAGCTCCCTCGCCCAGGACCTGTGTATGTGGGCCTTGGCAGGGCTGCTGTAGCATAGGCCAGACTGGACCTTCTGCAGGTTCTCCCGGGCACGGGTTCTCCAGGCACCTGGAAGAATGAGGAGCAGGGTGGCAGTGGCCATGGCTGGTCCCCTCATGACCTCTGGGCAGCACTGAAACACACAGTCAACACTCAGGAACAAATTCCCTGAGTATGAACTTGGCTTTGACACAGGAGGTGCAGATGCAGCCTGATTTCCATCCCTTGCCCCAGAAAACCCTGCCAGGTCTCTCCCATGCCCTGTCTCCTCCTTCCTGGGTCTCTGAGGACCCTGCCCTGGCAAGGGTCTTATGCAGCATGCTCCCATCTGGCATCAGCCATGGGCTAAGGGAGGGGGTGACCACAGTCCAGTCAGCAAGTACTGTGGTTGCTATACAAGCTTTTAACCAAAGGTTAAATAAGGAGCATTGGTGAACCTGCAGAGAAATTGGAATCCTCACACATCCCTTGAGGGAACATGAAATGCTGCAGCCACTGTGGGAAACAGGCAGTGCCTACCAGAGCTAAGCAGTATGGTCATGTGACCAGCACTCTGCTGCTAGGTGTACGCTGGGAGAATTGAAACAAGGACTCATAGTTTCCTGCATGGCAATACTCACTGCAGCATTCTTCAAAAGAGGCAATCTGGGGAAACAATCTCATGTCCATAAAGGATGAAGATCTAAATAAATGTGGCATATAAAGGCATTGGAACATTAGCCATGAAAAATAAAGTTGTTCTAATGCCTGCTACAACATAGATAAACCTGGAAATAAGCAAAAAATAAATGGCACTTGTTTCTATACAGTAGTTTAATTTATATGAACTACCTAGAATAGGAAAATTCCTAGAGGAAATTTCAGTAGACTAGAGGTTATCAGGGGCTCATATAGCAACCATAGTAAGTATGGAGTGATTTTGATATGGATTTCTATAATAAGTCACTATACTGAACATCTTTTCATGTGCTTATTGACCACCTGTATATGTTCTTTAGAGACATGTCTATTCAAGTTCTTTTTCACATTTGTAAATCAGGATCATTTTTTGGTCTCTGAGTCCTACCAGTTGTTTATATGTTATGCACAGAAACCCTTATATATATGATTTCCAAATATTTTCTCCCACACTGTAGATGGCTTTTTGCTTTCTTGACAATGTGCTTGATAAACAAAGACTCTTAATCTTGATAAAATACACTGCGCCTGTTTTTCCTTTCTTTACTTGTGTTTGTATTGTTTAAAATTTTATCTTCCTTCGCCCTTTCATCCCCTTTCCCTCTGCTCCCTCTCCCTCCTCCGTCTCTCGATTCCCTTTCGCTTCGAGAAAGATTGATCTCCGCACTTCGCATTATCTTTCTATCTTTTATTTTGCTCTTTACTCATAATTTGAGAAACTTTTCTATGAGAAACCTTGTGATATTTAAACTCATGTGGGGCCAGGGATTTAGCTCAGTGGTTTCGCTGCCTGCTGTGCAAGCACAAGGACCTCAGTTTGATCCCTGGTACCAAAAAAAAAAAAATCTTAAACTCGTGTGTCTGACTTATTTCGTTTAACATTATGGTCTCAGAGGGCATCCATTTTCCTACAGATGACTCAAGGTTTTCTTTCTTGCTGGCAGAATAGTACGCCATTGTGTGCAAATGTCACCTTTTCTTTGCTCATTTATCACGAACATTTCTTCATGTGTTTATTGGCCACTTGTACTTCTTCTATTAAATGTCTATTCATTTGACTTGTCCATTTTTTGATTTGATCTTTTATTTGTTGGGCCTAATTTTTTTAGTTCTTTATATATTCTAGAT